GCTCACGTGGTGAGGAACAAAACCTTTCACGATTTACAAAAGAGCATAGACCTGACCATAGACAAAAACGAACTGACACTGAACACTGGGAGACAGGGGAATTTAAACACAGGGTAACAAGACACAGGTGGGAATAATCAGGGGCGGGACTGACGCTGATTAGCACAGGAGACACAGAAGGGGCGACAGGTGAAAACAATCAGGAAATTAGACACACCAGGGAAACTAACGACAGACAGGAAAACACAGGGGAAAAAAACAAACAGACAATATACAAGGAGAAAAGCAAAACACCCACTACCAGACACACAAAACTAAAAACGTGACACAACACAAGAATTGTGACAGCTTTATACTCAAAATCAGCACTTTTGAAACAGGAAGTGAAATAAAGGGATATGAGGCATGGCTAGAATGGGTGATCTGTTTGGTATTTTGAGCAAAACACTTCATAGACATGTTTTTTATATATTTGTATATATCTGAGACCTATGCTATTGCCTAAAAACAGCATGATAGGTGACCTTTAAGTGGTATTGTTGAAAATATTATGATATGATAGATGTCATGTACATTTGGTAAGTTCAGACCTATGGCAAAATAAATCCATCAATTATTTTTCACTTCTCAATTTAGCCTTTCAATTCTACATAAACTAAAATGTGAAGTTATCTGATATCTTATGGGTCATGAGGGGTAGTATCGGTATTAGAGAAGAAAATCTATATTGATCATCCCTCATTGAGATATATTGAGTTCCTCGTCTTGTCCAATAATCCTCTCTCCAGACAATAACCAGCTCACTGTAAACTGATTAAAAATTCAAATCTAATCCAACCTATCTGTACCTCTGACCATTTCCCCTTCATACACATTTAATTCACTTTCAATTAACATCCCTTCCTGTTTCCAACCAACTTTGTCCTTTTGCCTTTGTCCCTCTTAAACACCCCCCACACACACACACACACACACACACACACACACACACACACACACACACACACACACACTCACCCCCCTCTCTGGTGTCACAAAGCGAAGTGAAAATGGTTTGCGTATTTCCTTTCGTCCAGGATTTGAAACCCAGTCCGCCAGAGGAGACATGATTTTGGATTATTAATGAGGCTCTTCAACACTTTGTCTTTCCCTCCATCATGTGAATGACGGGGGGTCAACACATGAACAAATGGCCCTTTGTAACAGTACACTGACAAATGGAGGGTGATGTAATGCGGTATCAGTGTTTATAATCGTGCATTCATTACTGCTAATGCGGCTGTAATGGCACGATAATCAGCTGACTAATTGAGTCATTACAGGGGAAGCTCGTTCTGTTGCCCCCCCCCCCACACACAGATGGCTTATGGCACTGTTAGTTATTGAGCAAACGGTGCTAATCATCACATCCTATGATGACATGAGGAAGGAATGACTTAATCCTCTCCTGCTGGTCCCCATTAGGAACAATCAAGGAAAGCTTGTGTAATGCATGTGTTGCACACCTGGATACAAAAGGGACTTCCAGGTGTACATACGTTTAAAGGGGCCTTATTAAACTTCCCTTTCCTGTGGGTTTTTTTCTATATGTTTTAGTGCATGCAAATAGTCTGCAAAGGCTAAAATCCCTGTTTTTCTCTCCCACACACTCCCCCCCCGCCTGAAACACCTCCATCGGACTCCTTTGTTTACTTCCTGAACATTGTGACATCACTATGTAATATTCACACTTCTATTGGCTATCGCATCAACACATTGTACGTGATTGGCTAAGGGGCGGGACTTCTCTAAGCGGTTGACCAATCACAACAAAGCTGGCCAGCTAACCAATCAGCCAGCTAACCAAGCAGACTGGCACACAATACAAATATTTTGACTGACTAAGGGTTAGGGGTTGGCTAAAGGCACCTTTAAAATAAAAATATTTTACTTTGTTTCTCAAATACACAAACTCTAATAAATAATGCTTTTACCTCTTCTGCCTTTCACCTAAAGGACCCCAGAGCTGCCCTCTGTGCCTGTATTACAAAGCATTACACATGAACATATATCAGAGCATATGAAACTACAGTATATATAAAAACCATACCAAACAAAACCATACAACAACATATAAAGATGCCATTTGCAGGCCCAAAATGACTGTGGGTCCCACACCTAGTTTCATTTGATGGGATTTTTCGGATCGGGGCAATTTAAGTGTCCTCATTAGTGACATTTGTGGATAATTATCTTGAAGCTTTTCTAACCAGATGTCTTTTATTCTTTCAGGTGCTTCTCATAGGAGCTGCAACCGGGAACATCTGATGACAGAACGTCTGGTAACAAGTCATGCCTGCTGAAGAGCCTGAACAGAATCAGAATTCAAAACACTGAAGATCAAGCTGGATTAAGAAGCTTTTAAATTTATAACTGACACTTTGACTGCTCACCTTCTCAGACGATTCATCTTTCTACCTCTTGTTGCTTTTCCCGTGAAAATAAGCAGTTTTTTTCGAGTTCTTTGAATGCCTTTTGATAGCTTTGACCCACATGTGAAGCACTTATCATGGGAAAACGTTGCATTTAGCACGCCACTTGTGCAAAAGTGTTGCAACTTTTTTATATTCAGGGGGTAGCAGCAGCCCCTAGCTCTAATTAGAAAAAAACACATGCACGTACACTGACACACACCTGGTGTTTCTGGCCTCTTGTTTAAACAGCTATACCCAATCTCCACATAAATCACATAGAGGACACTGGCCTTGAATGCGATCTGACACGTGTTGTTTGCTATTGTGACACCCTGATAAACACATTAAAAACATCACACCGCCTCAGGGACGGTTACTCCGCTAAGTAAAGCCATAATTACACTGTTTAAGCACTTCCTAAAAAACATGTGGTGCTGAAAAGTAGTGCACGTTAATTAAAAAGTGTGCATGTGTCACATTGACGGCAGATAGTGACAGCCCATTCTGGGTCACGTCACTTTGACTGACCTAGATTTGAAAATACATTTGGAGGAAGATGTGTGTGCAAGAGGACAGGATACACACATGTTTAGATATAAACACAACACTATCTAACCTTGAAGATATCGTTTGCATTCTTACTTCTTATTTACTACCGAGCAAACCTTTTGTCTAGGCCCTTCACCCAAGAAAAAACACAATACAAACTTCTTATCAGACGTTTTTAAAAGTCTCCAGTTGATTTTCCTTCCTCACCACCCTCGATGAACACCTTCCCTTCCTTCTCCGCCCCTCCTCCCAACACGCCCATCCTCAAGTCAGTGTGTAAGCCGTGCCTTCGGGCCCCGTGGACGATGAACGATGTTCCCACACTTGACTACGAGTTCCTTCTGTCCCCGGCCAGCGCCTCCCTCCCTGGCAGTGCTGGGGGGGGTAGCAGCAGCCCCCCCCTCTCCCTGGGTGGCGTGGACAATGAGCAGCGCACCGCCCTGGCCTTCGTCGGCCTCCTCGTCCTCTTCCTGGTCTTCCTGCTGGTCCGGTGCTTCAGGATCTTGCTGGACCCCTACAGCCGCATGCCTTCATCGTCCTGGACCGACCACAAGGAGGGGATGGAGAGGGGCCAGTTCGGTTATGCACTGGTTTAATGATGTGTGAACAGAAACATATTTCACTGCATCTTAGAGAGCGATTTAGATCTGGGAATGGATCATGCATAATGTTGTGAATGCACTCTAACAGGAGGGGTTTACTGTGTCCTGGTGTACAGTTTTAAAATTATGAATCTGCAGCATAGGGTGACCAGACATCCGGGAAGATTCGGGACTGTACCAAATGATGAAGAGCTCTCATGTATCCTGTCCTATTCGCCCCAAATCTTAGATTCAATTGAGGTGTGTTTTGCTATAGCTGAATACAACATTGAATACTTTGAAACAACTGATGTAAGAAGTAGGGAAAGTACTAATACGACAGTAAAGAAATACTCTCTTAAGTAAAACTCCTGAATTCCTTTTCTTGAATTAGCATCAATTTACACTTAAAGTACCAAAACCAGAAGGTAAAAAGTACAATATACGCTTCCAAATCGTAGTGTAGTAGAAGTATGAACTAGCATAAAGTGGAAATACTTATGTAAGTAAATAGACCTCCAAATTGTACTTAAGTGCTTGAGTACATTTACTAAGTTGCTTCTTAGACTTTGGGGATTTGTTTTGGTGTTTCCCCTCACACATGAATTATGGCTTTCGTAGTTTCATATAGCCTTGCACAGTAGATCTGACGTTTAATTGAACATCTTCGGTGGAAATTAAAGTTCCTTCGCTGACATGGTGCCAGCGAAATAGTTTGAGCAAAAACTGAAGGTACTATACCGTATTAGGAGGAGGATACCCAGAGATCATTGATGCCTTACATGATCCAAACAAAGTCATTGCAACGTCTGCAGGAAATGAATATACTATGATTAATACTAGTGTTCCTTGACACTAAATGTCATGTTCTGGAGGGCATTCCCAACTCTCCTGTTCCCCGAATTACACCCATTATCATCTGGTCACCCTACTGCAGGAAGAATAACAGGTTTGGTTAAACAACAACATGCACACAGCCCACTGGACTCCCTGCGAGACAAACCGCCAGATGTTGCACCATGAAGGACAGAAATAATGAACTGCACAGCTGAGCCTTAACCTGAACCTACTGTTCCCATCCAGCATGTCACAGCACCTCCTTAGGGCTAGGGTCTCCGAACTCCACAGCTTGCCAGTATTTAAACACAAAGCGTGTCTGGGAAGATCCCCTTCACTCACGGTGTAGTTTATAACCTCAAAGCGAGAAAAGGAGTAGAACTTAAAGGGGACATATCAAGGGTAAACTCACTTGTTCAGTGCTTGTGCAGATACATTTGAGTATCTGGAGAGCCTACACCTCTACAAACAGTGAAATAAGACAACCAGAATGTTATTTTGTGGGTAGCTGCACTTATAAAACATGACATTCAGATGTCGCTATACTTCCTATATCACATGGAGATTCATTAAAATATACCTCCCCAATCTGAGTACCTCAACCCACAATTTCAGGACAACCTTTGCAATTGTAGCACTAGCCAATCAGAACAAACTAGGCTTTTCCTGGAGTTGGTCTTAAAGAGACAGGCGCTAAAACGGCACATTTGAGAAGAGGGTAAAACATGTTTATTAAAGAAGCCGATATGAGGAAAATAATGTGTTTTTTTAACATTGAAGCATGTGAACATGTTCTAGTAGAAACCCTGTTTACATGTATGAACCTGAAAATGAGCATGATATGTCCCCTTTAAATGAAGGATTTCATTTTTAAGCAGACGCCCCTTTCTTTGGGACTCTGATCCTGGAGCAGCACTGCAGTTTCATGAACCTTTTAGGCAGGTAGTTTGTGTCTCCATAACATGTTGTCCAGGGACGTGCACAGGTACGGGCTAATGTTGCCCGGGCAACGGCCCTTTTGGCCTTTTTGGCTGACCTGCCCCTCTGGAGAGAGCGAGAGTTTGTTTTTCTTTTTTCTGTTGTGGCCGAATCAACATGATGAGCCCACAATTAGTATTGTAGCGTCTCGCTGCGGGAAACACACTTTGTCAGCGCTGTCATCTGCCGGTGCGTTAAGACCACCTCAGTGTCGGATTTTGGAAACTTGCTTTTGAGTTGTCTCATGGCAGTTAGGGTATAAGGGACAAACCAGGGGACTTTACTTCCTCTTGATACCGTCGGTTATTTACAAAAAAAACA